TGGGGGCGGGCGTCTGGTGGGGAGGGGGGGGGGGGGGGGGGGGGGTGAGGGAGGGGTAAGGAAGACTAGTAATAATAATAAATATTCTACTACAGAACTGAAATGTAAATAAAACATCTCACTCTTTATCATAGCAAAAGCCCCCCCCCAAAAAAAAAAATCACATTAGTGTGTGTTCCTGTCACTTTGGTCTTAAAGATACAATGTTTGAAATATTTGTTAAATGTAAAAAAAACAAAAAATCAATATTAAATAAATAATGTGATGCTTTAAAAGGTCAAACCGGCATTTGATTTAAAAAAAATCAATTGTTTTATTCGACATTGACTGAGGCGTTTTTATATTGGAATCTGAAGGGGATTTTCCTGCCCTGTTGGGTTGCTTTGTTTTTCACGACTGATGTTTTTATTTACGACAACTGAAGCTAATCGTCGCTTCTCCTACTGCTGATACAAAAAAAACGAGGTACGGATTCCTTTTTGTCCAGACAGTGATTTCTGGATGGACTGATTTTTGCTGCATGGCATTTACAATTTGCAACAGGTTTGCTTTTTGCGCCTTGTTTTACTTTGAAAACCGTACCCGGAAATGTGACCTCCTTAAACATGTCTGTCTTGATGACGACCGTAAGACTCCGCTCGTTGGTGTAAGCAGCGCCCACGGCTTAAATGAGCCATGTTCCCGAGCGTTTCTCAGTTTGGTCACAGACTCGGATCAGACAGAGACTGCCTCCTCCTCTCCTCCTCTCCTCCTCCTCTTCCTCTGCTCCTCCTGCACACTCTTCAACCATTCTTTCTCTCTTTCTTGCTCGTTGCCTCCCTCTGTCCGTATGCGTCTTTTGGATACCTGTTCTGGAGCGCACCAGTCCACCTGGACCAGCCCGTGTCTCCATCTTCTCGGCGGTGCCCGCGGATGCCGCGCTCGCTCTGGTGATTCCGACTGAAGCGCGTTCGTCCTCGCCACTTTCAGCGTCGTGAAGCCAGACGCAGCGCCATCACCGGCCGATGAAGAGGACCACACCGGCGCTGCCGCCGCCGCCGCTGCCGCCGCTGCTGCTGCCCGTGCGCGGCTCCGCCTGATGGATTTACCGTCGCTGAAGTAAAAGTGGGATTTTGTGAGGCTGTTTACCTGGAGATGGGCAGAGCGGGGGGACGTTTTTAGTCTGGATCAGAATCACACCCTGAGCGGAAATGCACAAAGGTGAGTTGGACCCGAGCTGCGTCCGCGCTGCGCGTAATCCAGGGTTCGAATCCCCGAGCAGGGATTACGCTTGAATTAAAACTTGAATTAAAACTTTCCAGTATTTGCTTTGATTTGTCCAGTTGTTATATTTGTGTTCTGTAACAGAGACGGTGGTGACTGTGCTGTAAAAAAAAAAACAACGATCTGATCCTCAGAGTGAATTTTCATTTCTGGCCAAATGAGACGTTTGTTGGAGTTCCACATGGAGAGTGTGGTTTCATCTCATTTATCCCCATCGTTTCCACCCGTTTGCCCTCAGTCTGACTTTTTAATGGAACATCTCACTGTTTTTATTGCTCATAAAACTGACTTTTATCATCAGTATCCACCGTTTAATCATCCATCACTTCGGTCTCTGCTGCTCTGCCTCTAATTCTCAGTCACAGTCCGACTGTGTCGTATGTTTCACTGCTGCTGAGGGAAACAAACAAACGGGGAAACTGTACCAAAAAATAAATTAAAAATTAAGACAGTGATAATACAAACAGACGGACTCGGTGTGTTTGACATGCACTGGATTATATGGTGATGATGGGAGGAAATGACCGTGAAGATGCTGAGGTCCCCCCCCCCCCCCCCCCCCCCCCCCCCCCCTTCCACCCGGTCACCGGGCCGGGGGGCGGCGCCCGC